CTCAGAGTCACTTTTTGTGAGATGGGCGGCCTTATAAACTTGATTAATAAAATAAATACATAAATAAATAAACAAACACTCTGTTATTATCATACGTAACAAAGTTCAGTCATTTTCTTCATGTCCTAGAAGTTCTTTCTGCATACAAAGCAGTAGGTGCATTCATTCTGGAGCACTCCTGATATTTCTTTAACCAGGTCAATGCAGCGGAAAGGCTAAGCCTTCTCTTGTTAAGAGACCATCTTAACATTCCCTTGGCATGTTATAGCAGGATTGTATTAAAATAAAGTACCACGAATCCTGTAATCTTGGCTCTGCTTTTATCACCACACAATTCTCTGAGAAGACTCAATAAGGAATTTTCTGTGAATCTATCAAACCAGCTTTTTCCTCTTTCTAGCATGTCTACTATTGAAATAAGAGCCTGCCTAGACATTCCTTTATCCAACTCCTGCTGCTTCTTCGTAGTCAGGTGCCAGCTCTTGGACAGAACAAACACGGACCATTATTTGGCACACATTCTTCATTTCATTCTGGCAGAAATATAAACTGAGGTTAAGGAAGAAACTCTCCAAAAGCTCTAAACCAAGCACCAAAACATTCAGGCCCAATTCCCACAAACAGAAATTTCTTCTGTGCTGCTGCTGGTTCAATGCTACATGTAGGATGCCCAGAACAACTTGTGCCATTAATGCTTCTGGACCATGTATGCCATCAGGTCCTGACACCTTCTATGTATGAGACTTTGATCTGCTGAGCAATGGCATCATCTTTAAAACATCCCCAAAGAAGTGTCATGCATTGGTTACTTAATGGCAATAGAGTGTCTTCACTATTCAGCTAATGAGATGAGTCCTTCAGGTCACATTTAAAAAAAAAAAAAATCACATCTTACTTGATCCTGTAATACACCCCAATGATGGAATAATGAAACAGAAGATTCACTCTAGGGCACTGAATAGATTAAACAAACATCTGGACATTTTCATGTGGACAAGGTTGGGTCATAGATCAACCTCCTAACTGCTAGCAGTTTTTATGCTGACAGTATATATGAAAATTATCCATTCAAATGGAAGCGGAAATATAAAGTTATTTCCTACTCTAACAATTTTAATTTTTGAAACCCACCTTGTGTTTGATTTAAATAAATTGGCACTGTTTAAGATTTACTGGGGAGAGTCAAGAGAGTAGATGTAAGAATTATACTCTGATTTGCAGAATATAGTTAAGGAATCACACAAAATCTGTTAGAAACCAGACAAAAAAAAAAAAAAACGACACAATTCTTCTGAAGTCAAGTTGTGAGGCTGCCTACAAGACACGGCATTCTAGCATCCTTCCCTACTTCTCTGAATCGGGTACTTTTCATTACTGAACATGCTGTTCGGGCAACAGAAGAGTGTCTCCTGCTTCAGAAGCAGAAATGTTAGAATGTGCCTGCAGTCAGAACTTAACATATTTGAGGCTACCTAGCATAGCTTTTAAAAGTGGGGCAACTAAGATCACATACAGGAAGAAATTTTTTTTGCGTGGTTCTGGCATAGTGTTGAATTAAATTAAAACACTCGGGTCTTTTCCCGATAACCCTTGTATTATGAACTTTGTGTCTGCTTATCAAAACTCCTGACAGCAACAGTCCAGAAATGCAGGGGGTTTCAGCTACAAGAATCCACAGATTTATACAACTGATGGAAATCAGCACCAGCCCTAGAGTTTGCATGGCTTACTGTATTTTCACCTTTTGTTACCCGATCCATACTTTTAGCTGCTCACCACAGCCCTTAAATGTAATAAACAACTGAAACAAAGCTTCTGCAAGGGTTGAAATTGAATACTGAATTTAAAAACCCCCCACAAAAACATCCCTCTAATGTGCCCATAGTCATACAGCAACATACATTCAGAGATGGGAGGAAACCTTTTTATTAAGAGGAGACTACATGCCATGAGTGGCAAGTGGAGATTACTTGTCTGCTAGAAGCTGCGGGGAATCTCAAAGAATAGGACATTAAAAATTTAGAGTGCTTACTTTCTTGTCTAATCGAGAAAGAAACCTCTGTAAGAGGTTCAACTAGCTCAGAGTCCTGTTCCATCCTGCTCCCTCTTCTACTCTTAGATGCATCTGGGAAGCTCACGAGAATATGAAGGCACTGTTATGGTCCTCAGCAACTGGTATCCAAAGGGCATAGGAAGCAGAGGTTCCATACAGATATCATGGATAACACACAGTGATAAAAAGTCATGGGCAGCAGACCTAATTTTCTCTTTCAAACCATAAAAGACATCAAAGTCAGATGGGAATGGAACATTCATCTTCCGTTAAAGGAAGCCTATGAAGCTTTTTGCAAGCAGATCCTTTTTGTCCTTGCTTGCTCTGAGAAGCAAAAATAAGACTGTGCTAGAAAAGACCATTCACCACCATCTTCACAAAAGTGGTGGAACTGATTACAGGCAGGAGTCAAAATGCATTTTGTCTGTCTGAACACAACTGGAATAACGTCTTGTATTGGGACAGGAGAGGCTGATATTTTACTTCAAGCTATGGTGATTGCTAGAAAGTGTACAAAGAAACTCAGTTCCAGCAATTTAGATCTATAGCATGGCTTTTGTTCTCATAGTTAGGCACAGATAATGAGGACCATATAGATGAAGGAGCCCACCAAAGAAGTTAGAAGGAAGGAAGGAAATATGCTTCCTTTCTGTGGCCCACTGTCTACAGTCCTGCTTGGCACAGAAGAGCAGAAGGCACTGTCAAGACAAGCTCTACAATGCACAGCTGAGCTGGAAGTAGACTCCTGGACAGGAGCTTCAACCTATGCTGCTTTTTAAATGAATAATATCAGCAAGGCTGGGAAAAGAGGCTGTGCTCACCTTCCAAGGGGTGATGGTCATTCTTTGGTAACTTGGGGGACAGAGGAGCACTGTATGGAGGGAAATCTTGGGAATACCTCTTTGTACCCCGGCCTGGTCCCTGCAGAGAGCCGTCTAACGAAATGCTCCTGTCTAGGAAGAGAGAACAAGCCCTTGCTTAAGATCAGAGTCTTCTTTGGGAAACGAATGTTCTGCCTCCTATCAGCAGAATGCTGTACTATATGGACTGGTCATTGACCGCAATAAAGATTCTGCTTCTTTTCCTATACTGTCCACACAGTGACCTGTAATTCAGCCAGCAGAAACAGTAGTATTGCTGAACTGGAGAATGATTTTGAAATCTCTGGGCATTACCAATCACCTTGTCATGCCTTCTGCTCCATAAAACAGCAGAAGAATTTTATGAAAAGGACAGCAGCATTTTCAGTGAGGATAAATGCTTCATTTGGACAAACCTTTTCATTTTTTTTAAAAAAAGTCTTTTTGTTCTCCTGAGAAATTATTGTACTGTTTCCAGTACATCTTAATTCTTATACACATGATGGGGAATCTAAATATGTAGTTACAACATTTAACAGAGCTGGGGAATGACAAAATGCCTCTTTATAGTTAATTTGATCTCCTCAGATGATTTGTGTGATTGCCTGCTTCAAGCTTCCTGCATGCCATTAATCCTTGATTATTTGCCATGGTGCTTTTCAAAGTGATTCTTAAAAGTATTTGCTCATCCCAGGGAAACTTCAGGGCCCTTTGTTTGGCTGAATGAGTAGGCTTCAGAATATGAAGTTAAATGTCAAGACATCTATTTGTGATCTCACTGAAAAGCGGTGAACAATATTTATAAAGAATTAAAACCATGTAAAGCTGAATGTTCAAACACAAAAAAACCAGCTACAAAATATTCAACATTTCCTTCTTCATATAGGGCTAACTTTTCTGACCCAAAGTTCTTAAGACTGGAAGATATATAAAACACATTGGACCATCAGCCCAGAAAATGGATACATTAGATTTAAAATTTACCAGTGGTTCTCTAAGCTCAGTTAGCACCTTCTGTGAATGTACATTTAGCACCTTCTGTGAATGTACAAGAAACACAACCCTCATCTTTCCACATTAATTAATGAAAACAATCATAATGGTTCTAATGTTATTTTATTTTTACTGGACTTATTGGCTGCTCTAATCAGAAGTTATTCTGAGTGATGTACATTTCAGGCTCTGGAAGAGGGTTTAATAACTACAGCAGCTGGATGTCTGATGACTGGCCACCGTAGCTTCAGAAGCCTCAAGCACCATTCCAAGCCCCAACTGGGAAACTCACTGCTCAGAATCTCTATGATTGGCATGGTCAATAAACATTGTAAAATAAATTAATTTAACATAGTAGCTGTGTTCCCATAGTATGCTGAGCTGCAACATGGGCAGGGTTAGTATGTAATGTCTAAAGGCCATGTTGTCACCTCCTGCTTGTTCATTTATTTAATTACATTTAGACACCACTTGATTCCAAGGTGACTCTGGGCAGCTTACAATTTAAAACAAACGATATGTAAAATATAATGTATGAGATGAAACATATATAAAAAAATCTATCTGGACAGCAAACTCTAAATTCAACAAAGGAATCACATCTACCCTACTCCAACACCCAGGAAAAGAGCCAGTTTTCAAGACCTTCCAGAACACCATTAGAATCTGCATAGTGTTGATACAACTGAATTCATTTTATTTTCCTTACAATTTTAAGTATAATTTCTTTAAGTCAGGCTCTGCTGGAGATGATTTTAAGTATCAGCCAGACATTACATCTGTACAGTAACTGGCAAATATTATCAACAAATCAGCAACTTCCTGCCGGCTTAAATAAAAATAAGAGCAGACCATTCAGATGTCAATAACAGGAATGGGCAAACTTTTCAGCTTATGGAATGTACGTTTTCTTTGTGCCCTACTTGAGGGTTGAAGGGAAGTGACTAGTGACACTATGACAGCACTGTTGTGGTTAGGGCAAATATATATATTCTTCTGGGATTTTTTAAGAAGCAAAATGGGTGCCCTTTAAGCCTCTGAAAAGAGGAAAAGTTGGCTTAATCTGGAGAGGTGTTGGGATTTTTAAGGGGTAGATCCCTTAAACCCCTCCAAAATTTTAAGGAATCCAAAATATTTAGCCCTACCCCCTCTGGATGCAAGAAGCCCAGGACCTGTTTACCTGTGAATTACAAGTTATTTTAGTAAATAAAAATATGGCTTGGGGGCTGATGTGGAAATGTTAGTGTCTTTGGATGAAGTTCTTTAGTCTAATACAACCTCTCTCAACCTTGACAACTTTAAGATGTGTAGACTTCAACTCCCAGAATTCTCCAGCCAGCATGGCTGGCTGGGGAATTCTGAGAGTTCAAGTCCACACATCTTAAAGTTGTCAAGGTTGAGAAACACTAGTCTAATATATAAGCACGTAGACTGTAATTTTAAACATTCTGGCAATTAGTACTAGAACAAGACTATCAACTAAGACTATATTTTTCTATATCCACATGCATTCAAATCTTCTACAAGAGCTTAAACAAGCCGGAGTACATAAATACACTTTGAATAACTGTGGTTTATTGCTGAACTATGTGCCAGACTTCACCTGGACTGATTACAGTACTTCTTACTTTTGTGAAATTAGAACAGTTTCTTCTAAACAGAATTGGTACAATTAGGTCATGAAGAAATAAGAAATAACATAATTGTACCTAGGTTTAGAACAGACAAGGATGGTTTTATTATACATTACATGCATTATTTATGCCTACATTTATCTATCTTAAATTCAAATTTCTTAAAATATTTTTATTCCATCATGCCTAATATTATTTAAATAATAGGATATTGATTTTTGGGTCAAAAGCTGAGAGAACCAAAATATAAAGGGCACAGCTTAGTTATGGCTAATTAAAGTTTCACTGATGTCAATGGGTTTACTCCAAATATGATAATGTCTGGATTCACCCATAGCTACTAAAACACTGGGGTTTTGAAGGCATTTTGGGTACTCAGATAAAGTGGTAGAATGAGCTCTGTGGTTCATTTTCACAGTAAAAGCCAATTCTCTGTCTGAATGTAGTTCAAAAACCACAAGAAACTTGGGAGGTCAATCTAAATTATTCACTTTCTAACCCAATACAGATTTGTCTAGCATAGTTGGAGTAGGCCAGACAAATCAGCACAATTAAAACACTGTTGAGGGCTCTCTGGACATCATTCTCATGCTGAGAAGGGAAAAGGGCTAAGCTGCACAAAGCCGTCAGAGGACCAGGAAAAAGGACATGGTTATCATTTCTTGCTTCATTGCCTTTGCTATTTATATATAACATAATTACACATCAACTATCTTACTTTTCCTTCTGCTATTCCACCATAAAGAGAAAAGAAAAAAAATGCAGAGGTAAAAAAAATAAATAAAAAGGTCCAGTCTTCAAACCAGCTTCCACAGGTGTATCAAAGGCTCTGGATCAATTCAAAGTTATAGCCCACATACTAGATCTTTGGCATGTCAAAGAGAATCAGAGGGAAAGCATTAATTTTCTGGGAGCTATCCCAGATCAGAAATAAGATAAATACAGTGAAACTTCAGTTTAATGGATCCGGCTGCCCTTAGTGGACTTTGGATGCAATGGAACAAATTTCCATCCAGACATTCTCCTGAAATAACGGACAAATCTACTGCATCTGGACAAGGCAGTTACACTTATGTTAATGATGCAAATGACACAAATTAAGTAGTTGCAATGAATGATGTAATCTTCAACTTAAACAGACATTTGGAATAACTGGCACCCTCTTCCCCCAGTTGGTCTATTCAATCAGGCTTTCATTGTAATGCTTTCATTTTTAGTTTTTAAGTGTGATATCTGCCATATTAATCATTATCACCACCACCACCAACCCCTGAACAATGGCAAGTCTGTCATTGTATTGTTGCCTCATATAACATAATTAGAACATAGAATCCGAGGCACTTAAATAATATTCTTACAAGGAAAGGCCCTAACACCATGTCCAGCTCTGTATCAGGTAAAATAAAATTAATGCAACTTGTTCCAAGTTTAAAAGAGGCACACAAGAATAGCCTGGTGGCAGGAATATGTTAAAAATGGTTAATGATAGACAACTGGCTTGGAATCTGTTTGCACTCTACCTGCAGAGATGACCATGAAAGCTCTCCACCCCAGCTCTTACCTGGTAGGTATTTATCATGGTCATATTCTCGGGAATGATGCATATGGTGCTGAGTGAAGGGCTGGTTCCCAAAGAGGTTGTCACTCCGCAGGTTGTGGCAAAGTTTCTCAAGGAAACGAAGGACATAAGTAATACTATTCACCGCTGGTAAGTTTAGAGTGTGCTGCTCATGATCAAACACAGCTGAAAGAGGAAAAACAACCAAGCCAAATATATAAACATTTAACAGAGATGGCAGGCACTGCTCAATCCCCACAGCTGCCTGCTTGTAATTCAGACTAATAAAATGCTAGAATGATCTTTCCCAATCTGTTGCTTTCCAGATTTGCTGGGACCAATATCCCAGCCAGAATGACTAGAACATTACTCCAATGGTTTCTAAAAAGCACACGGTGTTATGTTTTATTATAAGCTCTTGACGTAGCCTGATCAAGATTAGGAAATGATTCTCTCCTACTTCAGAACAGGATACAAACCATACCGCAATCACTTCTTTTGTATGTTGTCTCAGCCATAAGAATCTCATGGCTAGTAGAAATGTCTCCTGGAAGAGACTGTTCCAAACATGGTAGGACAGATCCACATTGGTGCTGGCTCTTTTACCTGAAATAATCTCTCCTCCGTGGCCTTGCTTAAGGAATGAGAAGACAGTTTTCTGGTGGTAAGCACAGTCAATGCAAGCTTGGACTGCTTGCTGCAGGACTACAGATGCTCGAGCTGGACCAAAATGGTCAGGCAATTGCTGGATTTTCTTTTTGTCCAGATGAGGCCCGGTGCTACCATTTTTATTCAAGTAGATGCAAACTATGTGGGGGGAGGGGGGAGAAAGGGGGGAAGCAAACACATAAGAAGCCTTCAGTACTTAATTTGAAAAAGCAGAGATAAATTTCTTGTAACTCTGGATCACGCAGCAGTCCCTTAATCTCTCTTTTCTGCAAATGAGTTATCTAACCTGGCTGAGTTTCAGAGAACAGATCCATATGCTGCATTAGTTTTTGAGAGTCCATATATCCTGAAAATTGCTCTTTTTTCTCCACTATATAATATAGTTTGCCAAAAGCTGCTTAATGAACCATGAAGATGAGAGTCTGAGACTTAAGCTATAGATAGAGTAGTGCAGTGTTTCTCAACCTTGGCAACTTTTAAGATGTGTGGACTTCAACTCCCAGAATTCCCCAGCTAGCATCCCTCTGCAGTGAACTAAATTAAAATCACTGCACCTGCATCTGCCACAGCCTTGCACTTTTTAACTGTGTGGGTCTCCTGACAGATTCTCTAGTGTGAGTGATCATACACAGCTACTGAATGTTTAGAAATCCATTCAGCAGGCTCTAACACAGACATTTCACACCTGCAGAATGGATTGTTCAATGCATGTCAAATATTCAGATTCTGCTCCTGTACAATAGTAAAATTTATCCTCACTTAGGTTATTAATTCCTGATGCATGAACATTTGTAAGCACAAAATGACTGTTTTAAAACAGTGTTTTCCAGGCTGTGAGACTGCAACCAAGATATGCCTTTCTTCTTCTTTTTTTAAGTTTATGGAAGAATTGTGTGGTTAAATACCTAAAGGTCAATCACAAAGCACTCCAATATTTCTAGTTTGATTCCAATTACACAAGCACACTGTGAGGGCCCAAGGAAAGTATTACCTTAGACAATCATTCTTTTGCCCTTATTTTTTATCATATGGAGTTGCTACTACCTAGCATTCAGAAAATCTCCCTTGCTAGGTTTGTCATTTGTTCATTCGTTTGGTCATTCATTTGATTTCTAATTCCATCCAATTGCTAAATGACTCCAGGCAGGTTACAAAGCGTATTAATTTGAAAATGTCAGGATAATAAACTAAAAAATCAAGATAACAGAATAGCCCCTCCAGGGGAAGACAAAACTCAAAATACATTAATGCTGCAGTGAGTTCACTAATCACCCCAACTCAAGGCCTGCAGGAAGAGCCAGGGTTTGAAGGCTTTCTCAGAGGACAGCAGGAAGTTTCAGAAATAAAAGGAGGCAGTTCCTTACCTGTAGGGGCCTGCATAGCAGAGCTGGGGATAGTAGCTGCATCTTGTGGTACCGTACTGGTGTCAGGCTCAGGAGTGCTAGTTGTAGGGGAAGTAGGTGCTGGATTTAGTAACGTCCGAGGCTTTCTCTGAAAAAAAAAAAAAGTTCAATGGTTTTCAATGGAAGAACAAAGTCTAGCGGGTAAAAGGAACAAGCTGTTAAAAACTGATATTACGGCATCAAGGACACCCACTCAGGAACGTAAAGAGGAAATGGTATCTCTGTGATAAAAATGTACAAAGCCCAATGAGCGATAAAAATAGCTTGAGTCAACAGCAGCCACAAAGGGGAGGGGGATGGCATAAAAATGTGATTTACAGCGGTGACCAAGATTTTATGCCGTCGGCTGTCTTTGCTTCCTGCCTTTCCGCTACGGAGCTTGAAAGCAGCATATGAAGAGCCCTGGTCAGCCCACAGTCTGCTTAGCTTTAGAAATAAAGCTCTTTCAAACTTTTCAGTCCTGGGGAGTCCTTCCAGTGATTTTAAGGCTGTATGCAGGAATTTACGAAAAGGACTTGGACCTAGTCAAAGGGTTCGTTGGCCTAGCTGGGGCTTGTCTGTTCTATGCAGTGGCACGGCCTTGGGCAGGGAGCTTCCTATTGCTGTTCTCTAATCCTGGTGGCTACATCCACCAGAAAATGAGCCTCGGGCTTTTTTCATACATCCATATGCTCCGCTCCTAAACTATTGTGCCTCCCAGATTTCCATGGTCCCATTTGATTAAAGGGCCTTCAATCATAACCTCATTGGCAAATCCAGAGAAGCCTTTGGAGAAACTGTAACAATTGTCTAACACTCTTAAGCCCTAGACCAGTGTTTCTCAACCTTGGCAACTTTAAGTTGTGTGGATGTCAACTCCCAGAATCCCCCTGCTTGCTGGGGAATTCTGGGAGTTGAAGTCCACACATCTTAAAGCTGCTAAGGTTGAGAAACAGCCCTAGATTATTCAGGCCTGGGGATGGCAATAGCTCTGCAATTTCAACTTGGGGACCAACCTAAGCAAAAGCCTTTTGGAGGAGGGAGGCCTGTGGTTTTTTTTATTTATATTTATTAAGAATTTTCATATAATAAAAAGACAGGCAGACAGACAGACAGACAGAAAGAACAAAATGCAAGAAAAAGAAACCAAAGTTAAGAAATATATAAATGACTTCCAAACTTCTTTTCAACAGGTAATTACAATTTTACTGTCCCTCCTCCCTCTTAAATATTTTGCAAATTCCCTCACGCCCTCATTTAATCCACATCTTTCTTAATCTTCACATCCATACATCATCAATTCATTTTTTCTTCTTTCAGCAAACAAGTCCATATAAGGTTGCCAATCTTTCAAAACAATTTTTTGTTATTTATTCTCCGACCCAACAGGTCAGTTTCACCATTTCTGCAAATTCTGACCTTTTCACAACCCATTCCTCCACTGTGGGGATTTCATTATTCTTCCATCATTGTGTGTAAAATACTCTTGCTGCAGTGACCATATCAAGGAGGGAGGTCTGTGTTTGGCTACGTATACTGACCACCTACCTTACCGCCAGGTTTTGGTCCCCTCTTTTTGGGGAATTTTAAGGGCTCCACTGCCTTGGAGGGATTGGGGTTGGGGTGGCTGGTCAAAGTCTTGGGTGTCCGGCCTCTTTTACGACCAGGCTTGCGGCCTCTTTGTCCAGGCGGATGTTCCAGGATACTCTTTGTGCTGCTGTGCATGGTGCTTTTTTCGGAGATCACGTCAGGGGCAGGAAACGGGGTCTTTGGAATGACCACTGGCAAAGAGAGGAAGGAGAGGAGACAGTCAAGGACCGCGACAGCCTCATGCAAAAGCCCATCTGGAATATCTAACATATGCAATCACTCTGTTTGTATGTTTGTATTAAGGCTGAAATACTTCTAACTTTTTAATTTATTGAATAATACTTGTTCTGTATATGAGTAGTTGTTTTAATCTGTCTCAGGAAGGAAAGAAGTGTGACGATTGGTTAAATAAACAAAATGAATGGACATTTTGAAACAATGTCATAGTTTTACTGTATTCTCAACATGTACCCATTACAAACATGCACCCAATGTTCATAGGGTGCAATGTAAAGCTTTAGCTGTACAGCTTTTTTCTTCCTATAAACATTTCTATTTGATGGGAATATTTGGAAGATTATTTTTCATGGGATGACTCAAAAACGTCAAGTGACTCAGTGTGAGATAGACTGGCAACTAGCTTGTCTGTATGAAAGGAGTACAATCTTAAGAGTTAGAGGAGACTGAAGGAAATCCATCCTCACAACATGGCTGTCCAGTCTCCATTTGTTCAGGGAGGGGGAGACTCCCCTATTCCTCTAGGAAATGTTTTCTACTGTCAAACCATACGCACTTTCAAGGGATTACTCCTGACATCCTACCCGAATTGTTTTGCTACACTTCTGTATAAGATTTTAAAAGGGAGGATGCTTAGGATCTGCACATGAAATAATTCACCATTATATAAACACTGCTTGTTTACAACAGGTAAAAATACAGAGAGGATGTAAACTAACACTCTGCGATCTGTACTGCAGTAAAGTGTACTTTACATAGCCATAAAATGATCACAAGCTATCTCCAAGACAATGGTAATACTCCGTAATTGCTACAAGACCAGGGCAAAGTTCAATTCCTATTCTCAGTCATATTAGTCATAGAGCATTAAATAACTGCAGTTATCCTTTGTGTTCCTCATGTATCAAGAATGGAGCTCATCAAGTATTCTTCTAAGCCCACTGTTTTACCTTTAACTGTCTTCCAAAATGGAATTCTTTACTTTGAAACAAACATTAGAGGTCTCCCTTGTCATAACCCCCTTGATGGGTGCTAAAATCTGTATTCTTTATCTCCAGAATGCATTCTTCTGGGGCACCAAGCATCTAACAATTTCTTACCATCACCACCACCACCACCAAAAAAGCTTAAGGGGAAGTTGGTACAAATCCAAAAATATGGTTGAATTTGGAATGTTGTAATCCAACAGCAGCAAATCTACTGTTACTTTCATGGCTTGGAACAGGACACTTAATTGATTATGTGCCATGAAGTCATTTTTGACTCTTAGCAACCACATAGATTCTCTCCATGACATCTGTCTGTATCCTGGTCTTTTAGGTCTTCCAACTGCGCACTCATCGTCACTGTAACTGAGGCCATCCACCTTGCTGCTGGTCATCCTCTTCTTCTCTTTCCTTCCACCTTTCCCAGCACTGAAGCCTTCCCTAGGGAGCCAGGTCTTTGCATAACGTGTCTAAAGTAGGATAATTTCAGCCAGCAGGAGGATGCATGTCTACATGAGTGTATGAAATCCACAGAACCATGACCAAGAATGCTCACCTGCTGATACTCTGGAACATGCTTCCCCCAAAGTATGTGCAGCACCCTACCTTCTTGCATTCTGCAAAGTGATTAACTTTGTTTTCTTCTATTGTGCTTTTGGTCTTAATTGATTGATTCTGGGCTTTCAAATCTTTTCTGGCTCCATTTAAAGCAGGCATTTTGTGAAAAATCTTTCCTCCCTTCAATGTGTAAGGGAATAATTGTGATAGGTGCCAGGTACCTTATGCTGGGCAAGATCCAAGACTCTGCATAACGTATTGCTTAATGTTAACAGTGCCAATTTCAAACAGGAAATAGATGCCTCTGTAGACCATTATGGAATGCAAAATTTTAATGCACAAGAGACAACTCCAAAATAAACTAATGTTGAATTCTAGGGATTTTAACAATTTTATTTTTATTTATTTATTTATCAAATTTACACGGTTGCCCACAAGGTGACTCTGAGTGGCGTACAATAAAACAAATTATCCAAACAAATTATCATCATTAATACCATCTACACAAAATAATGCCAGTGGGCAAGCACTTACTTTTAATATGCTACCATTTATCATGTTTTATATATTTTATTTTTACTTTTCTGTAAACAGCAGTCTGGACAGCTTTTAAAAACAAGGCACACAGAGAAAATATATTCAAGGACTTAATTTCAGAAGTAGTCTGTTGGAAGAGCACAGAGTAACCTAGGTCAACATGCTTATCCACAAGAGCTAATTGTTCACAGACTTCCCATTCATACTCAACTGCAAGCATGTTCCTGAAGCCTTAATACTTAACAAGAAGGGCTGCAGAATGACTTTCTAGTTCCACATTACATCTTCTGCTACTACATAACACAGTAAGGCACCAGGTTTTCTGCTCAACTCTCAAAACAGGAAGAGAATAGGGATTACTAGATATACAACTGGTGAAGTCTGTTATTTTTGCGACTTTAGAAACAAATCTACAGTCATGTCAGTGTTTATCTCCTGGGAATTCAACGGAATGAGGAGGAGCAAAGGTACAAATCATCTGACAGAGACACCATTTCTTCCAGTTTCTACCTGAAGCTATTCTCCCTTCCAACCAAAAGTAGCAAAGCCAACCAAACCCCTTAATCTGTTCACAATTGTTTGAAAAAAATGGTTGACAAGCATGAGAAGAATGTCAGGTGCCACTTAACACATAGCTATAGTAACTTTAAAAACGATTAACGTTTGCATGCCTGCTGAGCACAATAAAGTTATTTGAATGGGTGACTACATCAACCAGAACAAAGAAAATTAGGACAAGTGCCTACCCGCTGTAACTTTCCTTGGCACAGCAATGAAAAGAGTGTATCCTTTTTTAAAGCCGCCTTTGCTTGGCAGGACCTGCCTGCATCTCTGCCAGCTGGAAGGGTGCCAAGGCTGAAACTCTACTCTCCACATTCCAGATCTCTTGATAGTGCAGAAGATTGCCTCTAGCTCACAGACTGCCCAAAGACAATTGACTCTCATGATCCTGTCTCCTGGCTGCTAGTGTGCCAGACAATCAGCTTCATTAGTGCTGACTAATCTTAGGGGTCATTGTCTTGGTGAATCCAAACAGTACAGCTTGATCCAGAGGGGCGCATGTTATAGTTAAAAATTCAGTATGTGTTGATTTTGGCCTGTCATTTTTAACATTTCATTTTAACTATTTTCTCATTTCTGCAAAATTTCTCCCTCTACCCTCTGCAACAAAGACTACTCTGCTGATAAAGGCTTCCTCCCTTTATCACTAACCATCTACTTTGCTCCCCATGATCTGGAAGACTTATAACAGGGCAACAAGCGGCACACGATCATGGCATAGCCCCTAAAACCAAGATAGCAACAAAGATTAAGCAGAAGGGTTCCATCAACTTCAAAAGAACTACTGGCACACCTTGCAAGCCAAGAGGTAAAGAGGCGTGTGAAGGGATCGACAGCTGAGGCAAGGTCAGTTGCTAGCAGACCATTCTAAAAGATAGGAGCTGAAGATCTGGCTTGCCAGTTTCTCACTCCCTGAAAAAAATCCACCCTTGAAAATCAGATGCAGACCAAGAGAGAAGAATGAACCTTGATCCAAAATTTTTTGGAGGTAGCTACTTGTTTCTGAGATACTCATGTATGTCCATAAAAACTATCATCAACATGTTAGGGGTAATTATCAAATGCCTTGTTAAATGTTGAGAGGTAACCAACAGATAAAAGAAGTAAAAAACAAATTACAGACTAATGCTTTTGTTGCTCTTCATTTAGCAATTAATATTGGGATTTTCTGAATTTCCCCATCAGCCTCCTGAAATGCTGATTCATAGTTATCCTGATGGTTACTAAAACATGCATACGGGATCACTGACATTTAGACAAGAACCTTGGAAATCAGCTTTGTTTTAAATGGGGAGTTGCTTATTTGTCAGCATTACATATATGAAGCTGGCAGCTCCTGTAAATTGAAGATTATCAAACAGATATTCTGCTCCCTCTAGTGCTAAAGAAGCTAAAATGCTGCAGAGGTTTTGCTGCCAACTAGCCAAACTCTAGACATAAAATATCAGCATATCTCCTTGTTTTCGAACTATTTTCAAAGCTTGGTGTACTGCATTATCAGCTGATGTGCTTCAAGAATAATAACCAAAGAAGGGTAATTTGCAGACTACAGATATCCTGAGAATAGCTTTCTTCAGCCCTCCCACTGAGTTGGGATACATCTCCCATTATTCTCAGCCAGCATGCCCAACAGGGATTGTGTAAACTAATTAGGAGGACATCAGATTAGGGAAGATTCACAGAAATACATGATATCATTGTATGATGAGTGACATCACTGTCCATTTAGACTCGTACTGTTGACTGGGGTTGAACTTGGGAACTTTGGCATATAAAGCACATGTCCTACCACTGAGCTATAATCCAACTATAGACCATTTCTTGCATGGCTCAATGGCTGGGAAAATTAACTACTGTTGCTGACAGGACTGAACTAGCTCATAAATTAATACAAAGAATGTACTTGAAGTACCAACCATAATCTAATTTACACCAGATAGATTTTTACAATGTAAACAGAACTAGTGGATTTATTTATTTATTTGTTTGTTTGTTTGTTTGAATTTATAAGACACTCAATTCCAACGGACTCCAATGTTTTGTTTCCTGAAAAGCTACCAGAACTTGCCATTTTTTTTCAGCAGGCAACTTCAAGCCATGCAGGGACTTTGCCAAATCTTATGCTGATGTGAACAGGAAGTGGAAGATTATCAGCATTGGTAAAAGCAGTGTCGCATAATAGCAAATTGTGATAAGGTAATACATCATCCTTTGCAAACCTGTATTCTTTTTTGGGGAGAGGGGACATGCTTCCAATCATGAGAAAAGAATGCTTTGGGCCCTTTTTTACTGCACTTTGCCCCAGTCAATAATGGCAGAAACTTTAGAAGGATGTTCTGTGCCTGCTTCTAAGCTTGATGTACAGTACATGCAAGGAATCAGGGAGAATGTGAACTGCTACTGCCTACTCACTGCAACAAGAAATATCTCAATGTGTTCCTCACTCAACTTATAGTAGACTGCCAGCACTCAGATCAGACTCATGATGCATTATTAGTATTATGGGAATCCAGCAACAGCAGAAGTTGTTCTGTTGTTTTTAGCAGAAATGATAGGAAGTGCAAATACATGGCAGTTGTTATTAATGCTGACAGCAGCAGGGCTTTGACTTCAAAGCATCTCATGAGTTGGATACAAATGGAAACCAAGGCCAAAAGACAAAAAGATGCAAAGGAGGAGTGGGAGAGATTTAGGCAGTTCTTCATGGACACTAGGATTCTGTCTTTCACACTACCAAAATGTTCTCTCAAAGCAAGCTTCTGTAGTCTAAGGACCTGCAAGTCACCTTCCAAATCCTAAATAGTTCCCTGAAAAGTTACAAATCATCTAACTCTGGGCAAGAGAAGGCAGTAAAGCAGGCCTGCAATAATGGGGACTTTTCAAAAGACAGATAAATGAGCAAACAAACTTGTTCTTTACCAAGATTAGCTTGGTGAAGAACAGGTAATTTAGAGTGTAATAAATTATGTTCTAAGGAACATCAGGGTTCCCTAGACAACTTGAGGATGTTCTATGGCTACCTTCAAAAGCACTGAAGGTATTACTATTCTTTCTGTCACCGTATTTTTACAGAAAATGGATTTACAGCACTCACTACAACCAAGAGCAATTACTGAAATAGGCTGAACATTATGACAACTCTAACATTTTCTTAATAATGCTTAATCCAGACACTGATGGAGTATGCTGTTATTAAGATTTATAACCCAAGCAAGAAATAAAAAGAAAAATAAAATTCCTAAGAAACTGTCAAACTTGTTTCATATAAAAAGGAATACTGTCTGGTCTTACATGGTCTTCTAAATTAGAGAAATGCTGATTTAATCCACAATCAGTAATGCTTCATTGGAGATCTGTACTCATTCTTGTGTTGTTCTTCCACTGTCATCTTTTTCCCCAGGGCTATTAATTTATTGGATTTATACCCTGCCTTTCTGCTCTGGCAAACATTTAAGCCATATAACAAAATTGAAAACAAAAACAGAACACAAAAAATAAAAATTCAGCACAGTGCTGGATGAACAATCTGGTTAGTGAGAATTCCTACAGACCACAGCTATTTCCCCTTCCTGTCCCCCAATCCTAGCTTGCTGTATTACAGAGTAGCTTGGCATACAAAGCTGAAAGAGAGACACTTCTCCCTTGTGTATCAGTCAGGTCTCTGAGACACATGGAAGGTTGGTGCTTTCATCCAAGATTAAATTATGGATAATAGAGATGTTTTATCAAATGATTTGACATTAAACAATTGTTCAGGTTGGAGGAGCCACTATCACTGTCACTTTGTCTTCCTTGATTAGGTTACAACCTGAAAGGAAGAGATGTCATTGGCTACCCTCCTTCTCCTACAACTGTCAAGTTGTAGCCTCCCCCTGAATCTCCTATTAGTTACTCCTTTAATGATTGGCCCCAGGCTATTTTCAATGCCCCACTCTCTTATCTTCTGATAAATCTCATAGAGATATGAGATATAGATGGGTGAATGGTGGTAGAAACTGTGACGGAGCACTTACCTTTTGTTCCAGGGGGCTGCAAGTTGTCACCAGTCAATGAACACCAGCCAACAGGAAAGATGTCACGAGAATCATAGCGGCACCAGTAATCAAAGGCTCCCCTCCAGCCATCAAAAGTGATAAGGACTTCAGAACCCCGTACCTCACCAATAGTGGCTGGGCAGATGAAATGTGGGTTCTTCCTGTCTACAGCCTCAAGTTTCATCCCCATCTTAAAGAAATTCTGGGATGGAGATGGTGGCTCCTAGGAGAGAAAGACCCAGGAAACATCATTAAGTTAAACATAGGTGCAGACTTGTCCAGCTGCGTTTCCCAAAAAGCTCCTGCACAAGAAATCAGAAAAGGTCAAGTGTTCTGCATCAGAATGACTCAAATGCTTCATAGCTCAACTTCAGATGCATTGTGAACTTCTGTTTTTTAAAACATCTGATTGGATTCTACATCTGAGCAACAATATCCAGATTCATTTTTTTGTTATTGACTTAATTTTGAGAAATCAGGATGCTTTATTTGGGAAGTTCTTATTTGCAGTTCACCCAAATGATCTTTTTAAATTCAAACCAACTGATCCTGAACTAATTAATGATGGCAGAACAGAGGTGTGCTGAAGGTATCAAGTAGCCCATTTGAAAAGGAGTGCGGAGATCAGAAATATGACAGTATAATAAGAGGTATAGCATTCTGCTCTGTGGGCAGTATCTATTTCATCTGGACAGCATTAAAGTAAGGGGGTTAAAAAAATACATCCCAATTTAAAAAAAGGAGGCTTGAACATTATGACTAAACAGAGATATTGAGAGTCCAAACTCCTTGGAATAGCCAGCCAACCCCAGTTCTCCTAACATTTTTTGCCTTTTCCTGTTGTCAGGTTGAATTACCATTTCTCCCAAATGTCAAGGTTGCCCTCAGACACCTGTAATAATTCTTAGTAAAACCTGGCACACTCAAAGGAAATCTAGGACTCAATTTGATTATATAAACTTTCTTTGTTGCAGTCACAGCAACCCAAAAAAGATAAGGAGCAGTTTCTACCAAGCTAGACTTCAGTCATCTATATAAACATAATGCAACATGAAATCTTGGCTTTCTTTCCTCCATCCTTACACCTCAATGGTCTGGTAGCTATTCTTTTCTCAAGTGTATCTCTTATGGCTACCTTAATTGTGTTTTCATAATGGATTTTTCTATATTCAGCCTTCCCTCTTGTTGGCCTTTAATTTTAACACAAAATATCGTTCCCATTTCCCCAGTTTATCTCTTAGCTACTGTATTTTGTTTGCCCTCATGTTCACACAGAATGAATCCCAGCTTAACCTGATTCCATTTTAGTGTCTACAGAAATTCAGTTCTCCCAAGATTGGTCTCTTCAGCCTACAGATACTACTCACATAATCTCATCCAGAAATCTCAGTAGGTGTCCAGGTGCAATTCAAGATGCTGACTTGCATGGGACCAAATTATTTGCAGGACTGCTTCTCCCTGATGGTTTCTGCCTGTCCCATCAGATTGGGCACACTGGACAAGCTCTGGGTCCCATCAGTGAAGCATGTTTTCTCTGTCATGGCACTTGTCCTGTGGAACATCCTTCCCCCTGAGATATGGACAACCATAACCCTGCCAGTCTTCTGGAAGGCCATGAAGACCTGGCTATTCCCCCAAGCACTGGGACCAGGGTGCTAATGGAGCTCTCATGTGGGTGCAGGTTAATTTGTTAAGCGCTAGTGAAATTTTTGGGGGGCCTTGACTTGGTATTTTTTATGTAATGGATTGTGATTGTGTTCTGTTCTTATCGGTTCTGTTTTTATGTGTGCCTTGGCAGATGGGCAGCCATATAAATATGCTAAATAAATATATTTTTTCCAACAACTGGAATATCAAGCCCAGGTAGCCAGACTTATTTATTACAACAAATGGAGCCACATGGTTTCAGGGATTAGAAAGGCTGCATGCTACAGTACCTTATGGAAAATCCGAATAGGAGCCATTTCTGCTCCATTCAGAGTCTTCAGGAGAAACATAGGCCAGGAGGAAGCATTCAGACGAAAACCTGAAGCAGAGATGTAGGCTGTTAAAATAGTAGCTGCAACTGAAGACATCTTCATCGTAACAGTTATCCTTCCATCATGAAGGCACCACCATAGTGTTCAGTAATACTGATGTTTCAATAACAGTATTTGGCAAATATTTCCACAGCACATTAAATGCATGAAAGTGTAAAGGAAGTCTGTGCCAAGTAAATTCAAGTTAAAAGCTCAGTTTACCCTAAGTTATTTTCCATTTGAGTGTGTGTACGCATATGTGTGTGCGGGTGTGCCTGTGTGTGTGTATGCATGTATGTATGTATGTGTGTGCACCTGTGTGTGTATATATAATAATTATTGTAATAATAATTATAATCAGTAATAATCCTGATAAGAGAACTTCAGTACAATATGGAAACTTGGTCATTTTAGATGGCAATAAATAAAAGAAATCAAAGCAAGTGGTGCTAATGTAGCTTAATAAGATATAAAGATTATTCCTTAATTTTAATGTATTTTACCACTGATTCCAATAACACCACTCTACTGAGATAAAGAAAACAGTAACGATAAAGACAACAGTAAGAATTCTATCAAAAAACACTTCCAGCCAAGTCACTGAGCTACGTGTAAGCTGCCTAGAGCCACTTATGCAGTGAGATGGGTGGCATATAAATTTGATTAATCAATAAATAAACAAATCTAGTTTAAACCTATTTTCAGACTAGCACAACTGAGAATGGCACAAGGATGACCAGAATAAGATGTTTTGCACTCAGTACAGTGCAAAAACAAATGGAGAGCCTCAAAACTGCTAAGCAGTCCACAGCTAGTTTCAATTGGCTTGCTTATAAGTTGGGGAGTGATTCCTTGGAATCCATCCACAGACAGCATAGGGGAAAGAAGAATTAACCTCAGCAAATTTAGGAAAGGATAATAGAATGTGCTTTTTGGAAAGGCAAAACAAAACTCCTGTAGATTTCATTTTCAGGACTCTTCTATGATTTCTAGAGGGTAGATATGGCAAGAACACAAGGCGCGTGTGGTTTATTGAAGTCATGAGGAATTTTCTCCTCTTAAGCAGTAACAAAAAGAGGCCAGGAGCTTTTCTTAAAATGGTGAGTGATGATATAAAAGAGATGGTGTCAATGGGACTTAGCCTACCATCACTGTTTATCATGGCTATACCACTAATGGCTGGCTGGGGAATTCTGGGAGTTGAAGTCCACACATCTTAAAGTTGCTGAGGTTGAGAAACACTGATCCATAACAACCACAAAAAGGCAATTAGTAAAACAAGAGTGTCTCCTGGATTTGGCAGATACTTGTAAAAACATTATATGCCAGGGATACCATTAATGGAACAATCCTCTTGGGCAAAACAAGGCTTCAACTCACCCAAAGGAGGCTGGAGCATCCCTCCATTTTTTTCACAGTTGCCAATGGGCTGGATTTCTGCAGAATCTACCAGACGCCAGAAGTCATTCTTGTTGTCACTACCATCGAGGCGTAATCGGAGACGGGCACCTGTCAGTCCCACCACAGTAGCAATACAAGTTGAAGTGGTGTTTCTGGGGTCCTGGGCTTCTAACTTCATGCTGATCTTGAATTCATTGCTGGGTGGGGTATAAGACTGAGAAGAACAAGGCTTTTGGTCATACTTCATACTTTAGGCATTCAATTTTCTACTATCCCCAAACTCCTCTTCCTTCCTTCTCATTCCCTAAATTGTTCCTGGCATCTGAACATCAAGAGAGCTTTCTGGGCCATGATTCACAGTCAGTACGCAATGAGAAATAAACAGGATAAGGAACAGGGGGAGAGAAGAGAATCCAACCATCAACAGAAGATTAATTCTCTTCAACTGAATACATTAAAATCTAAACTTTTCCCCCTTCCTTTTGTTCTTCAGTTCAGTATCTTTTGAAGTAAAACAGACAGAATTTCCTACTCAAGGCTGCAACCAAACTGTCCCACTTTACTATTACTAAGCCAGCCCCATGCTTACCTTTTTCATCAAATACTCTTGAAGTCATAGACAGCTGCCTTATAAGCAAGTCAGACCATTTATCCATTTCCCCCAATATTGTCTGCTTTGATACCTGATCCTATTGAGCTGAACACGCTAGGAATTACACTCAGTACCTTTACAAGCAGATTACATCCAACACTTTTGCAGCACTCCAAGATCTTTGCTTCTTATATTTTCACTTTGCAAGTGATGTTAAATCAAATGGGCATGCTAAGAATTATAAATGGATAATTTTGGGGCAATTATTCCATTTAGCCACTGCAGTACATTTTATCTATGTAAGAGCCACTTTCATTTTAAAATTTTAGCCAAAGACAATACCCAGCAGGTCATACCTGAGCTCAGATATTATAACAGTAATCCTGTTTAATTTACATTAAGTCTAAACCAATCATTTACATTAAGTCTAAAGCAATCATAATACATTATGAATGCATATGCAATGGTCCAGGGTCCTTCCAGGCTAGTTCCTCACATTGTCAGTGTTTTTTCTGTCTCTTCCCCTTAACAGATTTGCATGCTAAAAACAAATGAAAGAAGTGTGGGGAAAGGTGAGAGTGAGGAGGGGTCACAAATGGAAGCCAATATTGAATGAATTCACCCTTTCCCAGAATTATTCTGTAAGAGAAGCACAAGAAATGTCTGGAAGTACCCTTAGGTATACATAGCCCATGTTACGAGGCATTGGCAATACCTGAGAACTAAGGTTCCTGAGCTATTTCATCAACTTTAGAACTCATCTCAGTGCACCTTTTTTTCAGTTCTGTTCTATTATAGAATTGGCAACCGGGTACCTGCTTTGTTTGTTCTTCTCCCACCAACAGAAGGCAGAGGAGTCTATTCCATACTTGTATATGAGCCGACTAGAAGCAGACCCCTTCATCCCAACTCTTTTAGAACATGGAATGCGCCATTACCTGCTTGAAGCAATGGGCAGGAGCTGGGATGGAACATGTCTCTTTCAAGTATTTATCCCAGGCAAAATGACCTGAATAGAAGATGGAGAAAGAAGGTTGACTGTGATGAAAGGTTTGAAAGCAAGTCTGAAAAAGCAACTATGTCTTCAATCAACAATCCATAGCTTTGCTAGCTACTGCTCGCCTTTTTTGCCTCTTTGCAGGAAAAAATAAATAATTTTTCTACACTTCTTGGTGTGGATGGAGGTCTGATACATATTGTGAATTATTTGGGCTTTGGTCATAAAGGGATTAGCAGAGGAAGACAACGTTTAACTTAGCCAAAGCTCAAACCTAATTTAGCTTTTTATTTATGTGCTGCGCTTGTAGCATGCTCCGGCTTCATATTCCCAGGACCACAAAGCAATATATATACTCTTCCAGCAAGCGGGTTTTCTTCTGTAGTAGAATTAGAGCACATGTTTTTATACTATTCTTCCATTATTCTTCTTACAGTGTTCTCCATGACTTCGGAATCCCAGTATTATTGCATGTGATTTAAAAAAGAGTGTCGTTTACTTATTTTTAGCATTCTATCCCACTCTTAGCAAGTAAGTCTCCCAAAGCAGCTTGTAAATATCAGAAGTTATGGAGTTCCTGCCACAGGCAGATTCCTCACCCAAACAAATAATTCAAGATGGATTGTTAGGGCTGAATTACATCTTATGATGTTTGAGACACTGCAATGCAAATGGTAGCCATGAATCAAGTTCCCTTCTCTAATGTCTACTTCAACGTATTCACAATTTACTCAGTTTTCTTATCATTATAACATAATTTCCCTATCCCTTATTCATCATTGTCAAGGATATGCTTATAATAATGATGTCAGGATACTGAGTACCATGGATTCAGGAAGAAGAGGAAAGGGATACATGTATCTGACATTTTGGCAACATTCTCATGTTCTGTAAAACATGTACCTCTATTCTTAGTTCGTAGGCAAAAGAATATGGTAGTACACCTCAAATAGATATGTACTTTTAAAAAAAACGTAATTGGCTTACTTAATACACTTCTTAATACACTAATAAAAGGAAACTGTTAAAGTTGCAGAGTTGGACCTCAATACAACACAGCTACTGTGTTCACAAAACATGCTAAGCCAGCATTTTCCAATGATGTGACTATAAACTTTAGAGAGAAGTTTGAGTTCAGTTAGGGGGCACTGACATTAGAGGTCAGATATGATTGTGATGATGCCATGCCCCAGAGCTCTACAAGATTCCCAGTCTGGCAATAGGTTGTCATTTATCTTAGATCATATAATCTCAGATCACATGACTTCTGGCTGCTTTGAATTAGACTAATGTGATTACTACATCAAGATTTGGAAATAGCAACTGTCAACTTTGAATATGGAACATGCATAATAGGAGGCATTGACATATACATAATTTGAGGAGGCATTGGGCTGAAAATGATTTTGTAAAGGGGCATTGGGTCAAAAAAGGTTGGGTAACCCTGTGCTAAACTACAGTAAGATAAAAAGGGGTTGATTAGTTTGAGTGTTTTGTGATTCAGACCATCACTTTAAACCGTAACATGATGTATTTGATTGGGCATAGATTGTTGTATGAATGATCCAATAATATTTGATTCTTGGATCTAGGGTTTAGTATGGTGTATAAAACTAGCCAGTATGAAAAGCTAAGTACTGTACTATACACATTTAACAATATCTCATCTCAAGTATGGAACTTCACACTTTAATTACCACATGACTTTTTATATAGCAAAAAATGTTTTTCAGCTTATGAGAGAATTACCAAAACATCATTTGTTTTTATAATTTTTCATGCAACAATTAGCTTCATTACATTTTGATAATCATCCAACTGTTTTCAGTGGCAACCTGCCCTCTTTTCTCTAAGGCTTGCTCATATTGTCAGCTCCATATGGCTCATACTATGGGAATGCAGCAAAATTAACTCAAAGGAAGAGAAAAGATACATACACACATGCACACGCATGCACGCATACATATGATTTAGCATATAAAAGCCAATCAAATAAGCCCACCCACCCTAATCTTGCCTCCACAGTAAGCAAAATAGAAAGGCAAATGTCTTCCCCACTGCTGGTCCCAAACACTAGATATTAGCAGCTTAGTGGTCCTGGCCTTAGAGTTTTCAGTTAGGCATCATGAACCAATAGTTATAAAGTGGCCATCCCTCCACAAATCCAACCCCCCTTTGAAGCCATCTGGACTAATGACCACCACTTTCTTTAGGGAGCTGAACAATCCGGCCTCCACAAGAGAAGGTCACCACCAGACCCTGACAGGAACATTTGATAACAGTGATATATCCTTCCCACAATGTAAGCCTTGGGTCCTTTAAAAGGCCACCTAATCCAACTGTTGCTGATAACATGAACTCTACTACTACAGCATTCCTGACAGGTGGCTACCCAGCCTCTGTTTAAAAAAAACCTACTCATTTTATAGATACCAAGTGGAACAATTATGTATTGCAGATTAACTTGCAACCATATACTCTTATATGGGACTTAGATACAGGCTTTTCACGTTTAAGGACAGAGGAAGTCAATAACTGTGAGCCAGCTATGAAAGCACCTCATCCTGGATTGGTTCACATATATCATGCTCATCAAAATGGCAGCAATTTCAAGCAACTGCACAGTTAGAAATATGCTATCTCAGATGTATCGCCTTAGAAATAAGCCTCTGTGTTTATATACAGTGGGGCAAAAAAGTATTTAGTCAGCCACCAATTGTGCAAGTTCTCCCACTTAAAAAG